AACACAGTGCCGTGTAAAAAAAATCAAGACTTAGGCCAGATAAAAAAATCTTGAACTTTTACCAACATGTTTATTTTCAACAAAAATAGACAGCAGTTAGAAAAGAAAAGTTTCAGCGGAGAGGTTCAGAGATGGATGCAAAGTAGAGTCCCATTCTGTTACCAGAACAGAGACCCGAGTTGACATGAAGCCATGTAACAAGTGATTTTCACCTTGTTTTGGACCTCCTTTTATAGCTCTGTTTCTAAGCATTACATCACCTCTTGGCTCTCTTTCCTGCTGCTCCTGGATCTGTGGAAATCCCCAGATATTTGGTGTCTCTTATCATCTTCTGACCTTTCAGCGTTTTGGTGGATTGTCACTTTTATTTCACCTAACTTTAGGTGTCTATATAGAATATATTGGTGGATGTTTTGTAACACAGTTTCCACACAGATCTGCTTCTACATTCCTTCTACAACATGTTTACAGTGAATCACAACGAGGAAAACTGAGTGGCAAGATGACAGGTGGATGTTTCCTTTTCTGTGTGGGGGATTAGCCTGCGTTATTGCTCTGCTGCTGTGGTAGTTTCCCCTTCAGACCGTCTGACAGACACAGAAGCACGTTTGGGACTGTATGTTAGGATGAGACAAGGAGGTGGAAACTAAAACTACCTGAAAACACTTTCAGGCAGAAATCTCACCACAAATGTGAACTTCAGCACCTCCGATAAAGCTCACAGACCCAAACAGAGCCAGTTTGCTCCTCAGTTTTTAGATGGTTATAATGCAAAACTCTACTGAAACATTGTTTTTCAAGTTTTCTCTTTCAAATTTATAACCTTAGTCTCAGAGAATATTCAAGGTTTTTTTGTCTTCGCTCCGTAATGTTTTTTATTTCCACCTACAATGGCCCTAATGCATCGTCATAGGAAGCCGACTGGCTGCAGGTCAAAAACAGAAGTAACAGATCACTGGCAGCTACATCTAAGATCACACACTCAGTAACAAACACACTCACCTGTTCCTCTTCGTTGTTTATGATCACCAGATCTGCTCCTTTCTCTTGACAATCTCTTCTGCTCTCATACCAAGTTTTCTTCTCATTGGATTTAAAGTAACAGCTGCATCCAAATCTCTTCCATCCTTCAGGACACCACTTCCCTTCATGTCAAATGAGTGTTAAAAGATGGATTTCATGTCATTCATTGTTAAATTGATAAAACTTGTTGTTTGACTTTCTTCTTAAATATCTTTCTTGCCTGCCACTTGTTGTTTACTCTATAAATACACTCAGGTTTTGTCTCATTTCTAACAGAAATAAACAGAGAAAACAGTTCAACAGCATAAAAGAATTAAAATGAAAATCAATGGCAAAGTCAAGTTATATCAAGTGAACTGGTGTGATGCTGGTGTTCACTATTAGTTTTTAAACTTTTCTCAGCATCAAGTTTGTCCTTCAGCTGCTTTACTTCATCCTGTAACTGGCTGTGATTTTTCCTCAGTGTCTCGTAACTGCTCTGTAACTGACTGATGTTGGCTGCTGTGTCATGAGAAAAAACAACAAGAGATAAAAGAGTAAGACAATTTCAAAATATTTATGCTCAATTAGCAGTGTGAAGTTAGATCCTGTGTATTTTGGTATTTGCTCTTTTTTAAAAACCTTTCTTACCTGAAATTTGTCCCTGCAGCTCGCTGTAGTTGTTGTACAGTTTGTCGTATCTGGTCTGCAGCTGGTCTTTTTCCAAAGTGACTGAAATATCTGGTGAGAAGCACAACAACAATAGAAACACACCAACAAAACCAAATCATTCTGCATTTCCAAACAATTCATGCCTATGAAGCGGCATATAGAGCATGATCTGCCTCTATATTTCTTTAAAAGTTGACTCAGTCCCTTCTGTCCTCTTCTTGTTGCAGTTGTTGGTTTCTTTCAGTTTATTATCAGTGTCTGCTGGAACTACACAAACTGAGCTACAATGCAAGAAATGATGATAGTCCAGAGAGCTTATATGTGATACTCAGATGAGAACAAACATCTTTAGAGCAGTGCTCACCTAACTATATAAATTCTGTTTGTCTTCCTCTTCTGCACAGATCAACAGGTGTATGAACCTGTGTTGATTAGCTTTAGTGCTTTTACCTAAAAAGTCTCTTGGACAAAACTACAGCAGAAAGTCACATGAAGTTTTTATAAAATACATCTTCATGCACCTGTTATGTTATCTAACAGAGAATAAAAGGTTTTTAACTTTACAAAACACAGAGAGGGATTCAAGTTATGAGACTTTGGATTTAAAACATAATTCCTCACAGCGTATGAAGACTCCAGCCAATATCAGAAGATACATCACTCCCAGAGTCGCTGCAGTAAAACACCTTCTTCTGACACGATTCTTTGGAGTCTGAGGTCCTACAGAGACAAAATACAGAGAGAACATTTAAATTATTCTTGTTTGAAGTTTGAAGTGGCCGCTGTGAACTGTGGAGTTTCATAGTGGCACATTGGCTGCATTACCGTAACCAGCTATGAGGTAACCGAGGTGCGGACCTCTGTAATTATATGTAGGCTATAACCTATCAATAGAAAACAATCTAATAACTATTGATAACACGATCAACTTAAATGACGGCTTCAGGACCCTGAGGACGCAGCAGATTACACTGTCAAAACCCTTATTTCAACTTGACAAACTGTTTCTCTGATCAGAAGCACATTAAAACGGCGTGCGCGCACTAACTGAGAGCCCCGCTGTTCTCTCCCCCTCAGGAGAGACGCTGTGCGCATTTACGCACGAGCCGCAGCAGCATGACTTCATAATCATGCACATGATTATTACATTATAGTCAGAGCCGATCCATGCATCACATGAATTCAGCTCCTATACTCTTGACAAAACAGTGCAACCAGCTGCTGACGTCAAATAATGAGGCTGTAATATCAACCAGAGCATCCTCTGAATTCAGCACCAACCTGCTGTTTTTTATGTTGTCGTATAGTAACAATAGTGGCCATTATGCAGTCTGCACATGTCATTCCAACAAAGTCCTGTGATGCCAGTTGTAGGCTGTCAGATACATTTAGCTTGATACATGTTGTGAAGATTAGTATAGCAAGATTTCCCTGTTTGCACGACCTGATCATAGCGTGTCTGTCTGTATCTCTTATTTTATACAATTTTTAATGAGCCAAGCTGTGGAGAGAAAGACCTTGATGAACAGCCTGTGGTTAGTGTGTTCTTAACCAACCACAGTGCTTTGCCCACTTCCTGGTTTAAGCCTTCATTACACACACACACACACACACACACACACACACACACACACACACACACACACACACACAGAGGAAAAGAACAAATTCAGCTTTAATAAAAGTATTTTTTGCCAACAGGTCCCTTTGTAGGCCTGTGTTTTTCATTATAGATCATTAGTTTGTGTAACTTGTGTGATTTTGGTGTGAATTTCTGTAAATAAGCTCTATTAAAAGAAACAAAGTCTGGACCTCACTGAATTCTAAACCCTGGTTACGGCCTGACAGGCTGAGTCAGCATTCACAGCCTGTGTTCTTCTACAAACAAAAACTTGTATCTCCTCCCACAGTTTGATGTAAAAACATAAGTGGATGACATCATCAATAGAGTGAAGCAGCCTTGGAAAATCTTCTTAAAATCTTCTCTTTAACTCGGCGTCATGCCAACAATTTTCACTGTTGACACACAAATAAACAGTTTTTGATATCTTTGTGGGGATGTTCATGCACACAGGCTAGTTCTGCTGTCATTGTCCAGACTTGCACAGTCTGTTTCACTAACAGATTGAGGATTTTAGTCACGGGACGTCTGGATCTCAAGTTATCAGAGAAACAGGCTCAGCAACGCCAGCTATCGCTCGGCCGTCGCAGAATAGCGTCAGAATTTCAACATCTTTCAAACATTATTGGTATTATTCAAGCCAGCAATCAGTTTAGCGTCAGCTTTCAACAGCCCACATTCACTCTGCAGTTTCTTCAGAAACTGGATTCTCTAGTTACTCGTTGTCATTCTGTCAGTAAGAAAATTGACTCTTGTGGCACCAGATTACAAAAACAAGACACCTGATAATGACCCATAGTTAATGGTATCTGATTAATGAATTATGAATTTTTATAGAGCCACACAAAAATGTACATTAACGTCCTTCTTACAACATCATTTCAGACTTACTTGCTTTTTGTGACCCAGGATCAGCGTGATGCTTTTCATCCTCTGAGATCTCCAGCTGATTCTCCTCTCCCGCTCCTCTGTTGTCTTGAACTCTTCCGGTATATCTCACATTCAAGCTTGAATCTGGTGCAGTGAGAATCCTTGCAGACATTTTGAAACACTGAAAACTTAGTGAACAGCTTCACTGTCTGCTTGTTTGTCTTTGGGTTGGGCAGCTTTCAAAAGAGGAAGTAACAGCAGGACTCACCACTGACACAGATGGACACCACAACATATGTATTATTGAAGACTTGACTTTAATTGAGGCATAAACTACATAAAACTATATTTAAAGCTGAAACATAAAGATGTTTTTTGTCAATGACACTGAGGAAGTATATGGTTTTCACTCAACAGCAGGTTTGTGCTCACATTCACACATTTGTGCAAAGCTGCATTCATGTTCTCCATATAGTTTATTCACACATGCATCTCTGACACAGGAAATGTGATGTGTTGACCAGTTATTTTTGTTCTGTCTAGTAGATGAAATGACGTGACAAGTATTAATGGTTCAATGATGATAATAAACCTAAGATGTTAAACACATAACTGTTCTCTTGTAATTTTATGAAGAAAACAAAAGAGATGATTGAATATCATCCTTACTGACACACATACAGGGGAGGTGACTTATTATCAGTTCATGCATCGTGTGGATTTGATATCTTTTGATTAGCAAAACAGCCCAAGTGTAAATGCAACAAGCATTAAAGATGGATTGAAATCTTATTCCGTCAGGTGCATCTTCTCTCCAAAACACATTCATATCTTTCCTCCTCCCAAGTGTAACTACATCAGTAAGTGGTCTGTGGAAGAAGCCTATGAGGTTTGTCCTTTATGATAATGGCTTAAATAACACTGAAACAGAAAGGAGCCGTCTTTCCCCTTGTTGTCATGTATGTGACATCTTAGGCTTTTTGAAAACAGGCTGTTGTAATATCCCTCTCTGCAGAGAGGGTAAGTGCACATGTAGTTGTGTGGATGACTTCCAACCAGACTGTTCACTGTGTAGGGCAGAGGAACAATATCTATGTAATCCAGGTTGTTCAGGATGCAACACAGAATGAACAACTGAAGAAATGTAAAATGTGAGTTGGTCTAATTTGACAAAGTTGATCCCAACACTACACACCCCTCTGTCCTCAAGATAAACAGGAAATCTATTTCTCACAGATCCAGTTCTTCTTCTGATCATATATCTGCTCGTCCAATTTCCTTGTTTATTGCAGCAGGCAGCAGCGTAATATTTGTTGCTGTGCGGGTGTCCTGTTGCCCAGAACCTGTAGGAGAAATAAAATGTTGTCACTCCTGATTATTTTCAATTTGAAGGAGCTGTTGGATTTTACTTGAAATATTTTTATTGTCAGTAATAAATGACAATTACATTTTTAATAACGTGTTTAACACATAATTCAGCTTAGTAAATTAATATAATGTGAAGTAATATATTTTTCATTTGTTTTCATAATTTTAAAAACAAACTTATTTTAGGAAGAAAATGAATTGTGATGGAAACTAAAAACTTTAAAAGCGTCTCACTTTAGTGTCAGCGGCGAGTCGTCCACCCATTTCCATTTCCATCCTGTCCGTTCTGTGGCCTGTAGACCAATCCAGGAGTCTCCATCCTTGTTCAGCTCAGTGACACATTTCTAGTAGTTGACAAGAGACAATAATCATTTCTCTGTTCATAATTCAGTAATTCTGTTGTGGTACATGTGTGATGTCTGAAAAGTCTGAAGGAAAAAGAAAATCTGTGGCAACTTTTCAGTTCATCAGTGGTGCATAAATCAGAAACACTCAGAGGACTGATGGAATTCAGCTCCTCTTGTAGAATAACCATTGTTCAGTGGTGGGAAAAGTACTAAATGTTCCTACTAAAGTAAAAGTACAGATACCACACTAAAATGTTACTCAAATAAAAGTCATCCACTAAAATACTACTCAAGTAAAAGTGAAAAAGTATCTGGATTTAAAAGTTCATTAGTATCAAAAGTAAAAAAGTACTTTTACAGTCAGATACAGAGAGGAGCACATACACACAGAGCTAGAGAGCTTTTACACTGTGGTCTGAACTTTAGGTGTCTATATAGAATATATTGGTGGATGTTTTGTAACACAGTTTTCACACAGATCTGCTTCTACATTCCTTCTACAACATGTTTACAGTGAATCACAACGAGGAAAACAAAAGTGGCAAGATGACAGGTGGATGTTTCCTTTTCTGTGTGGGGGATTAGCCTGCGTTATTGCTCTGCTGCTCTGGTAGTTTCCCCTTCAGACCGTCTGACAGACACAGAAGCACGTTTGGGACTGTATGTTAGGATGAGACAAGGAGGTGGAAACTAAAACTACCTGAAAACACTTTCAGGCAGAAATCTCACCGCAAATGTGAACTTCAGCACCTCCGATAAAGCTCACAGACCCAAACAGAGCCAGTTTGCTCCTCAGTTTTTAGATGGTTATAATGCAAAACTCTACTGAAACATTGTTTTTCAAGTTTTCTCTTTCAAATGTAGAACCTTAGTCTCAGAGAATATTCAAGGTTTTTTTGTCTTCGCTCCGTAATGTTTTTTATTTCCACCTACAATGGCCCCAATGCGTCGTCATAGGAAGCCGACTGGCTGCAGGTCAAAAACAGAAGTAACAGATCACTGGCAGCTACATCTAAGATCACACACTCAGTAACAAACACACTCACCTGTTCCTCTTCGTTGTTTATGATCACCAGATCTGCTCCTCTACTTTGACAGTCACTTCTGCTGTCAGACCAAGTTTTCTCCTCATTGGATTTAAAGTAACAGCTGCATCCAAATCTCTTCCATCCTTCAGGACAAACACTTCTCTTCATGTCAAATGAGTGTTAAAAGATGGATTTCATGTCATTCATTGTTAAATTGATAAAACTTGTTGTTTGACTTTCTTCTTAAATATCTTTTTTGCCTGCCACTTGTTGTTTACTCTATAAATACACTCAGGTTTTGTATCTGATTTGTAACAGAAATAAAAGATAAAAGAACTATAATTCAAAGTAACGGTGTGATGTTGGTGTTCACCGTTCAACACCTTTAATTTTGTCCTTCAGCCGCTTTACTTCATCCTGATTTTCACTCAGTGTCTCGTAACTGCTCTGTAACTGACTGATGTTCATCTTTAGAAAACCGTAATAGATAAAAGAGTAAGACCATATGAAAACATTTATGCTTGATAAACAGTGTGAAGTTAGATCCTATGTATTACAGTATTTGCTTATTTGTTTTTAAACCTTTCTCACCTAAAAGTTGTCCCTGCAGCTCGCTGTAGTTGTTGTACAGTTTGTCGTATCTGGTCTGCAGCTGGTCTTTTTCCAAAGTGACTGTTGAGAAACAACATAAGAAACACCTCAACAACACCAACTCATTCACTATAAACTAAAGACAGTTTAGTTACTTTCTCTGCATAATTAAAATCACTCTAATTCAAACCATAATTTAGTTATTTAGTGTCCTTTAACCTGCCGTGTATGTGGAGATGTTGTAACAACTGGATAACTGACTCGCTCATGTATCAAGTGTGATGAAGAACCAAAATGCAGATCAACACAGTCAAGTAACTGTGCTTAAATGGCGTGAAAGGGTACATCCTGAATGCGGTATATTCAGCTGCCATAAAGAATAGCTCCAGACTCACATGCCATTTGATCAATAAAATGATTGTTTTGTTCATGGCTCTGAAGTTTTTCCCCTCCTACCTTGACTGCAGTGTAAACAAAATGGGACATAAAATCTTCAGTCTTTGTCGCGTGAACAAATGTTTTAGGTACAGGCAAAGCTAGAATGAAGCTTCATTAGTCTGAGTTACACAAATTGAAGGTTTTCCTTCCAAAGTTCATGTGTTTTTAGAAAAATGATCTTGATTTTTATAACTCAGACTTCTGAATTCTCATAATAGCTTCAGCTGAAAGTTAGAATGTACTTTTAAACAGATAACTCTTTCAGCGTGCATATGGCAGGTCAGTTTTATTTGAAGATGAACAAACAAAACAGAACCTATCCTTTAAAGTCTGAAGCTGGTGCTCTTCACCATTTGAACAAGACAGTCTCATCTTCCTCCAGCTTGTTTTATTAGGCTACGTTCAGACTGCAGGCCTTAAAGGTGACTCTGCAGAGAGTTTGTAGATATTTGAGTCCAACGGCCAAACAAACTCCTGGACACGCATTGCCATGGTAACCAGTCCTACTCTGCTGAAATATAGCAGAATCCACAACGTCTGCTGTCCGAGAGCAAGTTAGCTTCAATAAGAGGGCATGTTTTAGTGGCACGAAGTCAAAGCTAACTTTGGGGCTAACCTCCTTCACTCTTAATTCAACAGTTGGCAGCAGCACACGTAAGATCCTCTTTAGTCCGGAGAAGCTGCAGTCTTTATTCACCGGCCTCTGGAACTTCTACTGTACATTTACTGCTGAACAAGCCTTATTGCTGACCCGTTTCTCTCTATTCACCGAGACACCCGTTCACGCTCACGCTCCGTCTATTCCTCCTCTACCGCACACAGACTGACCGCTGAGGCAAAGCTAACAAAGCTAACCAGCTGGGATCATCACAAACATGAAAACAGACAGACATGAGGAAATATTCACTGAATTTAACTAAAACTGCATTGGATAAGAATTGCAAAGCATCCCTTTAATGCTTAATTCTGTTTTTTTTTTGGCCTGCAGTCTGAACGCAGCCTTAGATCTGGTTGTGGAGAACTGGAAAGTACATTTTAGTGTAACTGAGCAAACTTTGGTGGAAAACATTTAATAAATGTGCTTCATAGACCAGTTGCAGCAGTTTTTCTGCATTGTGAACAGGTTCAGTATTTGGTTCTCAGTAGTTGTGGGGTGTATTTTATCTTACAACATATGTATAGGAGGATGATTCCAGTTATGGTCAGAAAGCACAGCACTCCAAGACAAAATGCAGCAGCTCTGAAAGGCCTGCTTTGGACGGCTGGAGGATGATTCTCAGTGTGCGGTCCTAAATGGCAAAGCACAGAGAGCGGGTTCATTAAAGGAAAACAACATGCGTCATGTTATCATTCCCCACACATAACATTTTAGTCAACAGCTTCACTGCCTTCATCTGTGGTTGTTCAACATCTGTATACAACTGTGAAATGGAGTCTTAACATTACTAACCACTGATTATTTTACCAAATCACAAAAAGACTTTTGTGTTGACCAATTATTGTGATGTAAAACAAACATGAAGTCATCTGAAATGAAGAGTTTTAAAAAGTTTTAAAATGCACAACTGACTCATAACTAAAAGCTGTTAAACTGACTTTGCATCGTCTCCTCTTGAGTCTCTCTCGGCTCTGTATTAATAACTTCTTCCTGTTATGTGGTTGCACTTTGCATTCGTTTGTAAAGCTGTCTTTACTAGAGTTGATGCTTCTCTAGATCTCAGAAATAATTTTTGTTAATTAAACGTTATCATAACCACTGTTGGTAGTAACGTGTTAAAAAAATAATACAGTTACAGTAATGTATTGCTTTTTGCTGTAACGCAGTAATATAATGCATTACTAAAAAAATCAGTAATATCATACCCGTTACAATCTCAGTAACGCGTGTTACAACGCATTTTAACCTAAAATTAAGTCGGTGAATTATTACAAATACAAAACTAACACCGAGAAACATTTCAGCACCAGAAATACAAATCCATGAGTAAGTAATATTATTTCCTGTTACTGGAATCCGAAGGTCGAGATTATAAGCAGGGTGCAAACTACAGGGGAGCTCGGCTCCTCTTAACAAGACGGTTGCTTCCCAGATGGATCATACGTAAATAGATCTCTATAGGCTGTGTGTTTGTACTTTAATGAATTACTTTAATGATCAGAGAGGCTGCTGTCAGTTCATCCTGACCAATCCTGTCAGAGTGTCGGGGGATTCAAATAATCGGTGACATTATGCTGCTGTACCTCGTGTGTAAATGTGCACAGCGTCTTTCTTAATGGGGAAACGATTCATCCTGTTTCACCCAACCAACCTCGCTACTTATCAGAAGGTTGATTTCTATGACAGAGACCCACCTGATCGTCGGATATAACTCTGCACATCGCTAGAACCCACCTGTGCAGACACAGCTTGCTATCAGAATAAAGCTCCCCTTAAACAGCAGAGAAAGTAATGCAAAGTAAAGCAAAAGTAGTTTAAAGCATTACAATTCAGAGACAGTAATATTGTAATATAACCAATTACTTTCAAATGACAGTAACCAGTAATCTGTACTATAATGTATTACATTTTGTAAATAAGTTGCCCAACACTGACCATAGCCAATATGAATCATGACCAAAACATTAGATCCAGGTTGTGTTCACAAATACTTGGTGGCAATTAAAATTCAGCTAAGGTGGCAGAAGATTTCAGTAACAGAACAGCTGAAATAAGTAATTTATTAGAACATAATCCAACCAGCTACAGGAATACATACATTACATGTATGGTAGCAACCTTTATGTTTCCTGTAGTTATTTGGATTATGTTCTGCACTGTAGATAAATAGAAACAAACATAGACGCTAATGGGCTGCAGTTCTGTGGGATTGGAAATCAACGTGTTACAAACTGAGAGTAAACTCAGAGGTCACACATTAGTCCAACATGATTCAAACAGACGATCACACAAACAAGATAAACATTATTTTTTTATATCATTGATTTGTCATAATTTCTCACTTACCTCCGTCGTGTGACTGAAGATCAGTGTGATCATCTCTGATATCGTCTGTACTCTCGTAGATAGCCACCGTTCTTTCTTCCCACTCTACGTTGTCCTCCTGCACCTTTCTGTTGTATCTCACCTTCTTTGAGAAATCTGGTTTGGCATAAATATCTGAGGACATCTTGAGAGGACTGAGACAATTCATTCAGCAACAACAATATGTATGTATTAATAGACCTAACCACATTTTTTTCACACCTGTCCCACCTTCTTTACCCCTCACCCACACACACACACACACATACATACAGAGCAGATTAAAGTTTGGCCAAAACAGGAAATGTCAGTCATTTTCTACAGAAAAACTTAAATCATTTCCCAACCAAGTTGTAATGTTTAACAAAGTTACAGTGACAATCATAACCCTATGACAATTGATTAGAATACATATCCTGCTTTGGAACAAGGTCTTAGAGCATCTGTCTGTCAATACATGATTTAACAACATACTTTTACTACTGTGGGGCAGATTGAAACTGAAAATGACTTTGACGCCCTCACATTTCTGTTACTGCCACCATCTGGCCAGTTCTTCCAATGGTACAAAGGAAACCCTAAAATATAAAATCAACTTTATGCACCACACTAAATGAACTTGATTATGACCTTTCTGTAAGTACCCTCAGGACAAACTCATTACTCTGAGAATAGCATGAAAGTCAGTATGAGTGCGACTTCTAACACGGTGTTATTTGGTAAAGTCATGAACATTTTCTGATTGCCTTTATTATGTAGTTTTTAAGCGAGGACAGCAGGAACTATGGATAAAGAGAGGGAGAAATGCTGTGCATTAAAGGTCCTTTCAAATCCATTACATCACAGTTACATGGCACACATGTTGGCCTCCATGATCTCCAGGAAACTCTCAATAGATCTGTTTCTCAGAGAGCCATTGATTGGATCCCGTCATGTTGTTTGTTCCTCGCAGATTATGCTGTGGACCCGCGTCCGACCTCAGGCTTTACATTCACTTGTACCTGCCAGAACCAACAGAAGAAGCACTATATTGGTATAGGGAGAAGCCACAAAGCACATGGAATTATTGATGTATGCAGTTCTTGTGCTCATAATAAGGTGTT